GGGGGGGGGGCGGCGGCGTTGCTGCGTTGCCTAGGGCAGCACAAGAGTTAAATACACCGCTGTATGTAGATATGGGAAACCCAGGCAACCAGGAGGTTATCGAAGAGGCTATGGTAATGACTGGAAGGTCCAGTCCCAAGTCGGTAGAGACGGAAGCTAGTCAGTGTTACCGACCTTCAGCATCACACCTATTATTATCAAGCCGGGTTATACGGCAATTAGAACAGTAAGCACAATCAAATGGAGTAGACCCGCATTGGTTCCCAGATCTCACGTGGGGACTAGTCCATGTACTTGCGGTTTTGTGGGGTCTCTATCTTAGCCGGGAGACTCATACGGTGGTGCTGTGTCCTGAGGTACTAGGTCCGGCTGGGAGGCAAGGGAGGACAACTGATCGATCAGCGTCCTGCTATGACCAACAGTGGACGTTGATCAATTAGTGAGCAGCGGCTTTAAGCCGACTGCTCGAACGAGATGGGGGGGGGGGGGGGAGGCATGAGGCACGCCACCTTACAATTATATAGTTACACCATTTAACCAACAGACACAAAATATAATATAAAAAACATGATCCACCGATCCCTAAAGACAAAGCTGATCCAGAGGAGTTCTAGTTTAGGGATACGGTTTAATCCAGTCAATAGTTATTGTGTGGCAATGTCAGTTATCCGAGTAGACCCATCGTGTGTAGTTTCCGTCATTTATTATAAGCGGATAATTATTGTTTCCATTGTTGACTTGTAAAGACTCATCGCAGGCAGTTCTGTCCATATACTATTAGATGTAGTCACACAAGGTGGTCCCAAAACATGTTGTGTGAGCAGTACTTGAGTACCCATGCTATCTTCATCCAATAATGAGCCTCCATGGTCTTGTTTCTGGTACCCAAGTCTACGTGGAGGTGATGTATCCATGGATGGAGTCACTGGGAGCTCCAAGGTTGGATGGAATGGAGTGGAACATTCGTGTAGAAGTGATTGTCCCCGTAAGAAAAGTAACAATACCAACTACAAACTAGAACCGCTGAGCTGAGATGATCTTAACCACAGGCTCCGAGCCGGGCTTCTTAAAATAGTTTCCATAGACAGTGAAATAGTCGTTTCCTCTCAGCAGTATTTAGACATAATAAAGCAGCAGACAAAATATATAACGATAGCTGCCGCAAGTCTCGTTATGTTCATCAGTTCATAACTTCTGTGCTCCGCACCTTAAAAAATAGAGAAACGTGTTTATCTACTGGACGTGAGGCATGGACCCAACATCATGAGGACACATAATGGACCTGACATCATGAGGACATATAATGGACCTGACATCATGAGGACACATAATGGACCTGACATCATGAGGACATATAATGGACCCAACATCATGAGGACATATAATGGACCTGACATCATGAGGACATATAATGGACCTGACATCATGAGGGCACATAATGGACTGGACATCATGAGGACATATAATGGACCTGACATCATGAGGGCATATAATGGACCTGACATCATGAGGACACATAATGGACCTGACATCATGAGGACACATAATGGACCTGACATCATGAGGACACATAATGGACCTGACATCATGAGGACACATAATGGACCGGGCATCATGAGGACACATAATGGACCTGACATCATGAGGACATATAATGGACCCAACATCATGAGGACACATAATGGACCTGACATCATGAGGACACATAATGGACCTGACATCATGAGGGCACATAATGGACTGGACATCATGAGGACATATATTGGGCCTGACATCATGAGGACACATAATGGACCTGACATCATGAGGACACATAATGGACCTGGCATCATGAGGACACATAATGGACCTGACATCATGAGGACATATAATGGACCTGACATCATGAGGACACATAATGGACCTGACATCATGAGGACATATAATGGACCTGACATCATGAGGACATATAATGGACCTGACATCATGAGGACACATAATGGACCTGACATCATGAGGACATATAATGGACCTGACATCATGAGGACATATAATGGACCTGACATCATGAGGACACATAATGGACCTGACATCATGAGGACACATAATGGACCTGACATCATGAGGACACATAATGGACCTGACATCATGAGGACACATAATGGACCTGACATCATGAGGACACATAATGGACCTGACATCATGAGGACACATAATGGACCTGACATCATGAGGACACATAATGGACTGGACATCATGAGGACACATAATGGACCTGACATCATGAGGACACATAATGGACCTGACATCATGAGGACACATAATGGACCTGACATCATGAGGACACATAATGGACCTGACATCATGAGGACACATAATGGACCTGACATCATGAGGACACATAATGGACCTGACATCATGAGGACACATAATGGACCTGACATCATGAGGACACATAATGGACCTGACATCATGAGGACACATAATGGACCTGACATCATGAGGACACATAATGGACCTGACATCATGAGGACACATAATGGACCTGACATCATGAGGACACATAATGGACCTGACATCATGAGGACACATAATGGACCTGACATCATGAAGACACATAATGGACCGGGCATCATGGGGGCATATAATGGACCTGACATCATGAGGACACATAATGGACCTGACATCATGAGGACACCTAACGGACCTGACATCATGAGGACACCTAACGGACCTGGCATCATGAGGACACATAACGGACCAGACATCATGAGGACACATAATGGACCTGACATCATGAGGACACATAATGGACCGGGCATCATGAGGACACATAATGGACTGGACACCATGAGGACACATAATGGACCTGGCATCATGAGGACACATAATGGACCGGGCATCATGAGGACACATAATGGACTGGACACCATGAGGACACATAATGGACTGGACACCATGAGGACACATAATGGACCTGACATCATGAGGACACATAATGGACCTGACATCATGAGGACACATAATGGACCTGACATCATGAGGACACATAATGGACCTGACATCATGAGGACACCTAATGGACCTGACATCATGAGGACACATTGACCTCCTAAAGCTGGAATACTGTGATAACGTTTCCCCCTGTGACTGTCACTCACGGCTCCCTGGGGGGATTCCCCACCCCTTCCCTGTCTGATCCTCCAGCGCTGACTGGCGGAACGGACGGGGGAGGGGGCGGGTACAGCCTCTAGATAGGCAGAGCCAGCTGTCAATCCCGCAGCTGGGCGGATCCAGACAGAATTGTTGGGTTCCCTCACGGCTGCGGCGGTCTCAGTGTACAGCGAGCTGCAGCTCCCTATATACTGAGCTTAGGGTGATGGGAGGACGCTAGTTTGTGTCCCGTTACCCTAAGGAGAACTATGGGGAAAAGCCCTGACCTCATAGTTCTCCTTTAACTACGATTAGTAGTTTGTCTTGAATGCTTACCCTGAACCTGGATATTTATCTCTTCACTCCTCTTCTTAGCACTGCCGGCTGATGTCCTCACTTCACAGGAATAATTCCCAGAATGCTCCAGCTGAGCGGACTGGACTCCATATTGATCAGATGAGCTGAACTCCTGAACATTCCGTCCATCTCTGTAGAATGCAAATTGGAGCTCTGTCCCTGGTCTGAGCGGGCTGAGACTGATATTACACGTTAGGGTCATGTGGTCTCCTTCCACCAGTGGATATTGGATTGATGTAACGTGTGGGTTGGAGAAGAGTTCTACAAAAGCCAAAAAAAATCCAAAACCGGTCACATGTTACTGTAATAAAATCATTGTAGTGAAGATTAGTGCAGGACAAGGTTGGCACAGTCCTCGTATCCTCTCTGTTATTGTTTACAGTCTTCACCCTACAGGAGGTTCAGAGAATCCACCGTCTGAGCGGGACAATCTCCGTGCTGGTTAGATAACCTGAATCTCTGACCGTTTCATCCTTCTTTATATAACACACACTGCAGCTCGGTTTGAGGGGACTAAGACCCGCATCACATATATCAGGGTCATGTGATCACCTTCTACCACTGGATATAGAGTAGATTGTGTTCCTGTAGTTTGAAATAGATCTCTAGAGCAGGAAAACACCCCAATACCCTTCTCATGCCTCCCATGGGGTCCCTCATGCCACTCCAAGCTCCAGAAACCCACCAATTATAGGAGCCACCCCAAAGCTGGCCATAGACTTCTTGTTGTGCCATGACTAAGACTCAGTTCTGAGGCCGAAACAAGTCAGAAGTCTTTGTCATTGACCGTTTTTTATGACCTTTTGGGGATAAATCGATATTATTGCACTGATCCCGTTTTGAGCTCTGGCTTTCTATGGATTCACTTCTCAGTCTTTTTCTTCAACCCTGCGGGAGCAGAGGCGGGAGGACTGCATTCTAACACATGTTCCATCTGAGGGGAAAGCATTGGAGAGTGAGACCCCCCCCAGGATGGGTCAGAATGGAGACAGCAGTGATGTGACTCGGGTGGGAATGCATTGGAGAGTGAGACCCCTCAGAATGGGTCAGAATGGAGACAGCAGCAATGTGACTGGGGGGGAAGCATTGGAGAGTGAGACCCCCCCCAGAATGGGTCGGAATGGAGACAGCAGTGATGTGACTCGGGTGGGAATGCATTGGAGAGTGAGACCCCTCAGAATGGGTCAGAATGGAGACAGCAGCAATGTGACTGGGGGGGAAGCATTGGAGAGTGAGACCCCCCCCAGAATGGGTCGGAATGGAGACAGCAGTGATGTGACTCGGGTGGGAATGCATTGGAGAGTGAGACCCCTCAGAATGGGTCAGAATGGAGACAGCAGCAATGTGACTGGGGGGGAAGCATTGGAGAGTGAGACCCCCCCCAGAATGGGTCGGAATGGAGACAGCAGTGATGTGACCCGAGGGGAAGCATTGGAGAGTGAGACCCCCCCAGGATGGGTCAGAATGGAAACTGATGTCTGGGAGATATCTATTAGGAGGTTCTTTGACCACATTGCCAATTTTTAATAAGCACATTGAGGTTTTTTTTGGGTGAACTTTGACTGTTTTATTGGGAATTCATAAAGTATTGTGAGTAGGCATGTATCACACTGCCCTGTATTGCCTTGGTTGCTTTGGTGAGGGAAGTCTCTTGTGGAGGAACCTTACAATGGTGGTAGACTTTGTCCTACGTTCCTTCTACAATTTGCTCTTATATTGTGTATACAGTTTATGAGGACAAATCATAACAGATGAGAGTTCTAAACATCCAGAAATCAGCTTTTATCAGATTCTCACCTTGTATCTGGACGTCTTTTGCTTTACTCATCTTCTTCACCGTGGAGCTTGAGGCTTTCACCTCACAGGAATAATTCCCAGAATCCTCCAGCTGAGCGGACTGGACTCCATATTGATCAGATGAGCTGAGTTCCTGAACATTCCGTCCATCTCTGTAGAAAGCAAATTGGAGCTCCGTCCCCGGTCTGAGCGGGCTGAGACTGATATTACACGTTAGGGTCATGTGGTCTCCTTCCACCAGTGGATATTGGATTGATGTAACGTGTGGGTTGGAGAAGAGTTCTACAAAAGCCAAAAAAAATCCAAAACCGGTCACATGTTACTGTAATAAAATCATTGTAGTGAAGATTAGTGCAGGACAAGGTTGGCACAGTCCTCGTATCCTCTCTGTTATTGTTTACAGTCTTCACCCTACAGGAGGTTCAGAGAATCCACCGTCTGAGCGGGACAATCTCCGTGCTGGTTAGATAACCTGAATCTCTGACCGTTTCATCCTTCTTTATATAACACACACTGCAGCTCGGTTTGAGGGGACTAAGACCCGCATCACATATATCAGGGTCATGTGATCACCTTCTACCACTGGATATAGAGTAGATTGTGTTCCTGTAGTTTGAAATAGATCTCTAGAGCAGGAAAACACCCCAATACCCTTCTCATGCCTCCCATGGGGTCCCTCATGCCACTCCAAGCTCCAGAAACCCACCAATTATAGGAGCCACCCCAAAGCTGGCCATAGACTTCTTGTTGTGCTATGACTAAGACTCAGTTCTGAGCTGTATCACAAGTCAGAATCATGTTGTCACCTTCTGTCACGGGGGATGGAGTCACATTTACTTCTGGGCTTGAGAAGAGGTCTACAAAGGAACAGGATTAAGATTCAACATGTTGGTCTGAATCTGGCAACTTTTACAGAGACATTCAGGAACAAGTCCAGAAAGAGAAGACCCATAGGAGGTGTCTCATGAATGAGTATTTGTAGAACTTCCAATCACTGAGGTTTTTATGGATTCCGTGGTTGGGGACATAGAAGAGTTGACAGTCAAGGAGCAATGTTCTCATCAAATACATGATGGTTCCCAGTGCAAGCATTCTTTAACTGTTATCTTTGACATGAAGGAAGGACTCGTCAGTGTAGCGTATGTTAGAGGAGGGACTATGATTTCTTTGCTGACCTTTGCTGGATAAGCAGGGTTTATGACAGCCACATAACAAGTAGAGCTAGACCAACTTTGGGCTTTATCCACCTACGCTTAGAAGTGCACTTCCCTTGTTTCTACATTTTGAAGATTGGAGCTCTCGCTGGGATGTAGGCATCTTATTAGGTACAAATATGTCTTTGCTTGAATGATGACATGCATGCCATATAGTTCCACTCTACATATTGCACTGTACCCCTGGTACACATAGGACTCACGCCTTCTCTGCGCTCCTTCCAGCTTGCAGGCAGCTCCTATGTATAGACAATGGCAGCACAGCTACAGGGCTTTACCATTCCTGGTCACAGCCTGGCTGCGGAGTCATAAACAAGTCCATCGGTTCCCAAGCGCCAAGGCATTTTTTAAGGCAGGATTTCTAGACTTTGTCATGGTGGAGCTAATGAGGCCACATGACTGGACTCTGTATTCACATGGTTCTATAGCAGTGGTTCTCAACCTTTCTAGGGCCGGGACCCCTTGGTAACATTTGCCATGTTGTGGTGACCCCCAATACTAGAATCTGTGTGGGCTCTCGGGAGGCTATGCAGGCTCTCAGGTGGCCAGTGGGACTCTCTGTTGGCATCCAATGGGTCTGTGGTGCCCAGTGTGGGCTCTGAGAGAGAGAGAAGAAGGAAGAGAGAGAGAGAAGAAGGAAGAGAGAGAGAGAGAGAAGAAGGAAGAGAGAGAGAGAGAGAAGAAGGAAGAGAGAGAGAGAGAGAAGAAGGAAGAGAGAGAGAGAGAGAAGAAGGAAGAGAGAGAGGAGAAGAAGAAGGAAGAGAGAGAGAGAGAAGAATGAAGAGAGAGAGAGGGAGAGAGAGAGAGAGAGAGAGAGAGAGAGAGAGAGAGAGAGAAGAAGAAGAAGAAGAAGAAGAAGGAAAAGAGAGAGAGAGAAGAAGGAAAAGAGAGAGAAGAAGAAGAAGGAAGAGAGAGAGGAGAAGAAGAAGAAGGAAGAGAGAGAGAGAAGAAGGAAAAGAGAGAGAAGAAGAAGTAAGAGAGAGAAGAAGAAGGAAGAGAGAGAGAGATAGAGAGAGAGAAGAAGGAAGAGAGAGAGAGAAGAAGGAAGAGAGAGAGAGAAGAAGGAAGAGAGAGAGAGAAGAAGGAAGAGAGAGAGAAGAAGGAAGAGAGAGAGAGAAGAAGGAAAAGAGAGAGAAGAAGAAGGAAGAGAGAGAAGAAGGAAGGAAGAGAGAGAGAGAGAGAAGAAGAAGAAAGAGAGAGAGAGAGAGAGAGAAGAAGGAAGAGAGAGAGAAGAAGGAAGAAGAGAGAGAGAGAAGAAGGAAGAAGAGAGAGAGAGAAGAAGGAAGAAGAGAGAGAGAGAAGAAGGAAGAGAGAGAGAAGAAGGAAGAGAGAGAGAGAGATAGAGAGAGAGAAGAAGGAAGAGAGAGAGAGAAGAAGGAAGAAGAGAGAGAGAAGAAGGAAGAGAGAGGCAGAGAGTGCACTAGGCATGCATGGATTTTGAGCAAGCCAGAACGCTAGTTCCTGTGGTGTTGGGGGTATGCTTCCAACATCCAACCTGTCCTATGATCTAAGCAGGATTGGGTGAGGGGGGGTCACTCATTTAGACTAGATTGATGGAACTCTTCAAAGTGCTGTTCAATGGGGACTGGTGGATTCTCGTGTCTTTTCTGTTAGTTGAGGTCCAGATTAGATTACCGTATATATACTCGAGTATAAGCCGAGATTTTCAGCCAGACTTCGTCATGTTTCTTCTACAAAGAGCTTTTATATGGAATATGTAGATGTGTATGAGGAAACATAAAAGTAAATTGATAAAGTCTAAACATCCAGAAATCAGGTTTTATAAGATTGTCACCTTGTATCTGGACATGTTTTGCTTTACTCATCTTCTTCACCGTGGAGCTTGAGGTTTGCACCTCGCAGCAATAATTCCCGGAATCCTCCAGCTCAGCCGACTGGACTCCATATTGGCCAGATGAGCTGAGTCTCTGGACATACTTTCCATCTCTGTAGAATGCAATTTGCAGCTTCGTCTCCTGCCTGAGCGGACTGAGAGCTGTGTCGCAAGTCAGAGTCACGTTGTCACCTTCTGTCACGGGGTATGGAGTCACATTTACTTCTGGGCTCGAGAAGAGGTCTACAAAAGGAACAGGATAAGATTCAACATGTTGACCTGAATTTTGCAACTTTTACACATTTAGCAGATCTTACTTGGGAACAAATCTCTACTGTTCAAGAAAGAGGAGATCCATAAGAGGTGTCTGATAAATGCAGAACTTCCAATCGCTGAGGTTTTTTATGGATTTCATGATTAGAGACATACAGTAGAAGAGTTGACAATCAAGGAGCAATGTTCTCACCAAATACATGATGGTTCCCAGTGCAAGTGTAGCGCCTATCACCTTCTGTGATGTGACTACTATGCATTTAGTGATGGCCGGGGCTGTAGTCGGCCTGGCTGGATTTGTAGTGGTGATTACATGGTTAATCCCAGGTGTCTAACCTTGTCTGTACCCCCCTGGGCGGAGGGAGACTCTGTCATATTGTGGAGCAGCCAATAGGGGACATTGTAATATATGTGCAGTACAGCAGCTAATCACTGGGCTTGTCTCAGCCAGTGGTGCATGCTGGGAGAGTGTACATATATGGGTGGGAGCTGCCATGTGCTCTCTCTCTCTCTCTCTCGCCTGGACCAGCCATGGATTGGGGCTGGGTCCTGTTAAGCCTGCCCCCCCAGGCTAGGCCGAGGCCTGGGGGTGGGCAGTGGCTGAAGTGAGGGAAGATGTTTCCCTGAGGCCTTCAACAGGGAGGAGGTCTTAGAGATGAGAAGAGGAAGAGAACCAGGACCAGTGCAGGCTCTTGAAACACCCTGGAACTATGTGGGCTTCAGAGCATGGTCGGTATCTTTCCTGGATTGTGGAGCTGCATGGCTACCTTCGCAAGATCTGGTGAGTCTGGAGCTGAGGATGGTTACCCCTAGAACCCCTATACCCTCTCTCCCTAGGAAGAAGTTCAATAAAATGTTCAACTAGCATCATACTACTGAAGTGGACATCAATTTATGGGCACCAGAAAAGGGCGGTTAGTACTAATGGGGCGCAGCTGGAGATCAACCCCTAGACCGACTAGATGTGGACCGGGCAAACAGCGGCTCCTTGCGGGGAGTTATCGCTACACAAGCATTTAACTGTTACCTTTGACATGAAGGAAGGACTCATCGGTGTAACTTGTGTCAGAGGAGAGCTCTGACTTCTTCATACATTTGTATTTACCAGCCGACTCTCTATTGACTTTACGAAGGACTAGTTCTGTTTCCGCCTGCAGTGGTCTTATGACCGTATTGTCCTTGAAAAACATGGTGCGTCGTACCGAATACCCAGGCCAGCTGCCACATCTCATAAGGACGTCATCTTCTTCAAATGCAAAAGGAGGAACTTGTAGGATCAGATAATCTGAAAGGAACAAAACATTGTCTAAGGAACCTTTTATCTCCTTGTTCAGCCTGGTGACTGTACACAGACGTATGGGTGGCACATGTATTGTCTGCTTCTTCTGATGTTGTCCATTGAAGCCTCTCAGCTTGGAGTGGGCCAGCCTCCAGGACAGTAGGATCTATCACAAGAAACATAACCCTACATCCCCCTCCCATTTTATGTACAAATCTTACCAATCAAAATGACTTAAGCTCAATTATGATCATGCCTTACAACCAGTGGTGGTCAACTTTACGATGCAGAAGGACTCAAGTGCAGTTCCTGTCACCACCAGAGGGCTGCACATAACATTCAGTAAATCCAATGCTACAGAAAGCTGCCATAGGCCTCAGACATGCAGCAAGAGATGGTCAGAGACTACAGGCATGCTTCAAAAGATGATCTAAGACTGAGAACATGCTGTAGGAGTTGTTGTAGACTCAGGGATATGCTTGAGAAGATCACGGCTATTACTGCCCCACTACAAATCAAGGCTTCCACATTTGTGCAGCGCCCCTCAAAAAAAAAAGTTATTTTGCGCCCTTTGATATATCTCTCTGCATTATAAAATATATTTGACAAAAACATTGTAGCGCCCATCACCTTTTGTGATGTGACTACTATGCATTTAATGATAGCCGGGGCTGTTGACTATTATTATATGGGTAATCCCAGGTGTCTAACATTGTCTGTACCCCCCCGGGCGGAGTGTGACTCTGTCATATTGTGGGGCAGCCAATAGGAGATACTGTAATATGTGTACAGTACAGCAGCCGATCACTGGGCTTCTCCCAAGTCAGTGTTGCCTGCTGGGAGAGTGTACATATATTGGTGGGAGCTGCCATGTGCTCTCTCTCTCTCTCGCCAGTACCAGCCATGGAATAGGGCTGGGTCCTGTTCAGTCTGCCCCCCCCCCCAGGCTAGGCCGAGGCCTGGGGGTGGGCATGGTCTGAAGTAAGGGAAAAGGTTTCCCTGAGACCTCCAACAGGGAGGAGGCCTGAGAGATGAGAAGATGAAGAGAACTAGGACCAGTGCAGGCTCTTGAGGCACCCTGGAACCATGTGGGCTTCAGAGCATGGTCGGTGTTTCTTTCTTGGACTGAGGATCTGCATCCATATGGACTGTCTGGTACATCAGTGGCTATCTGATGTGGTCAAGTGGATCTGCATTGCTACTGTTACAAGGTCCGGTGAGTCTGGAGCTGATGGTGGTTACCCCTAGATACCTAGAGCCCCTATACCCTCTGGACACCTAGAACCCCTATACCCTCTGGACACCTAGAACCCCTATACCCTCTGGACACCTAGAACCCCTATACCCTCTGGACATCTAGAACCCCTATACCCTCTGGACACCTAGAACCCATATACCCTCTTGACACCTAGAACCCATATACTCTCTGGACACCTGGAACCCCTATACCCTCTCTCCCAAAGAAGATGTTCAATAAACTGTTTATTTGCATCATACTACTGAGGTGGACATCAATTTATGGGCGGTTAGTGCTAATGGGTAGCAGCTGGAAATCAACCCCTAGACCGACTAGATGTGGACCGGGCAAACAGCAGCTCCTTGCGGGGAGTTATCGCTACAACATAAAAGAGAAAATGGATGGAAAACACAGAAAAAGGAGCCTAGTTTGGCACAGAGAACCTGCGCCCACCCATACAGGGCAAAGCAAAAGGTTCACTCGGACGTCCCCCTTCACACTTGTATATACTTATCTTTCCCCCACTGGTCTGTTCAGCTACCAGGAGTGAAGAAACAAAGTTCTTTGTAAGGTCCGAGTTGCTCCAGTCAAAGCTTACATAGGGATGAGGGTTTCCTACGCAACCCTTGTGACAGTGCTGGGCCAACCACCAAGCACAAGCATTGTCACATAGAATAAGTCACAGTGGATTCATCATCAGCAGGACAGAAGCAGTGGGGGGAAGCAACGAAAGGGGAGTATATGCTGCTGGGTAGGGCGGAGGTAACATAAATCCGTTGCTTTGCCCGGCATGGACAATGCACAGGTTTGCACCAAGCTATCAAAGCGTAATTTACACAATTTCCCTTAAGGCACATGTGTCAAACTCAAGGCCCAGGGGCCGAATACGACCCACCAGGCCATTTCCTAGACTTCTACTTTCAGATCTAGGTATTAGGTTATTACTAAAACCAGTGATAATCGCATACAGAGGCAATTATGATAAAGATTAGATACATTTATATAGTCTTACAGGCCCTTTGAGGGCAACCATAATGTTGATGCGGACCACGATTAAATTGAGTTTGACACCCCTGCCTTAAGGGGTTCTATTCCTGAACTCACAGGTTGCCTCCCCCAGAGAAAGGTAAAATACCTTATGATGCACTTAGATACTCCATGGATCAACACTCTATGGTATTATATCTTATAAATATTAACAGTCGGCTATAATATGTCCATTTAGAAATACATCTTACAGAGTTAGCTAGACCCAGCTCCTGAAGAAGTCTATTACACAGCTCTCACTGTGAAGAAGGCCTTCAATATGCAGAGGTTACACCCCTTCTCCTCTAGGCGCAGAATGACCTCCTTCTACGGAAAAAACAAGAGTCTCATCTTCACCAGGGAACTTACCGTAGATGACCTCCAGCCTACTAATATCGCTAGTTTCAGTCGAAGATGTCCGGCACCAGTAATTTCCAGTATGACCAGTTTCAGTGTAAGATATTCTATACGTTTGGTCGTTGACAGACAACCGCTTATCGTCTTTGTACCAGAAGAACCTTTGGTTTTGGTGGGCCGAGCTGATGTAGCACGTCATAGTTAGAGACTCTCCTGTGAATACTTTGGCCCAGTTGGGATTGAAAGTCACCAGTGGTCTCTCCTCTGCTGCTCCTGGAAGACAATATGTTACTGAGGTAACACAAGAAGAAGGTCAATGACACAGAAGAACTTATGGAGGAATAAACCACTCATAGCACAACTGGTGAACGGGCTTCTGTCTACAAGCTATTGGAATCAATCTGTTCTTCGGACTGGACCCCTCGGATCACTGTGGCTCTGAGATATGGCCCTTCCCGGGGTTCCAACAGGCTGATGAATTTCCTGAGTTCCATCCTATCACTACGTTCTTCAAAACTAAGACCAGGGTTGAGGATGTCTGCAGCATGTTTGGTTAGTACCACTCTTCCCAAATTTAGAACTTAAAGGTACAACCATGGGGGTCAGTGCTTTTCCTCATAGTTCTCCTAAGGGTCACGGGAGGACACAAACTAGCGTCCTTAGGGTTAGGGTATTTAGTCCCTTCTCACAGTGAGGCTGGTGCCTCTGTATTGTCGCCCTAACCTGTATCCTGTTGTCTGAGTCCTGTGTCCTGTTGCCTGAGTCCTGTATCCTGTTGCCTGAGTCCTGTATCCTGTTGCCTGAGTCCTGTATCCTGTTGCCTGAGTCCTGTATCCTGTTGCCCGAATCCTGTGGCCTGTTGCCCGAATCCTGTGGCCTGTTGCCTCCTTGGACCCTGACTCCTGACTCCTTCCCCCCTGAGGTCTCTTGATCTGTGGCTCCCTTCCTGTGGCCATGCTCCCCTGGTGTACTTGCCCTGTTGTACTCCGTGTGTTATTCTGTTTATATTTAGTTTGGCTAATTTATGTTGCTTGTGTGTGGTGGGGATGCTGGAGGTTAAATGATTTTGTATGTCTAATAAACTATAAGTTCATATCCTTGTTTGGTGTGGTCGAGTATTTGGTCCTCCCGTATAGATACCTGCACATGGTGTGGGACACCTGTGCACGGTATCCTGACACCGGCACTACTCACTTACTAGACTGCTCCGACTGATGACATCATCTAATGCAGTGGCGGAGGAAGCCAATAGTGGAAGACTTCCTCTGCCAGTTTCTGTGCTTACAGGTGGCAACAGCAAGTCAGTGAGCTGTCACAGAGACCTCCTGAGTACAAGTCCAGCGCCAGGAGATGTCGGTCCAGCACTGGGCTCCGGACACAACCAGGATTCACAAGACTCCAGGATTTTCTTGAAATCTAAAGACAGCCCCTTGGAATCTGGAATGGTTGGAGCGGTATGGTTTTATATACAGAGATCACTCTAAAGAAAGATGGTTAAGGCTCCAGAAAAGGAAACCTCTACCGAGAGGAACATGGAGCCTACCATCGCTGACCTCTAATTCGCCAGATGCTATTGGCTTGGCTGTCTTGCTGACCATCTTGCTTCAGGAATTCCCATCACTGAACCAGAACAAATATGCAGCTAGAGACTTTTTCGACCTGAGTACTGTGATCTGAATACTTGTTCTGGGTCAGCGACTCAAAAAGAATTGACTTTAGCGGGTCAGCTGGGGGAACTAGCACCTTCGGAAGGCAGTCAGCAAAGGCAACCCTCAAGTTTCCTTCACATGAAAAGTCTCCAAGCAACAATTACCTGTAAATAGCTCTCCAGCTATCAGCTCCACTGAATGTTCCTCAAGTGCTGAGAAATGGTTTTCTAAAGCCCGCTGGGAAACCAACACTTTCGGGAGTGTCAGTCTATCGTGGTCAACCACAACTCTCGCTGGTTCTTCATGCTGACCTCTATATTACTTCTGCTATCTGACGTGTAAAGTTCCTTTTGCCTAAATATGTCTTCCTCTTCCTCTTAGCAATTGTTTCATTAGAGCAGCACAGCCTGGGGCACATGCGCAGTGCCGTCTACACTCCGGGCACATTGATGGTATCTGTCAGATGCCCAAAATGAAGCCCTGGGGACAATGTAATTCCTGTGCACATAGACCAGAGTTTTATCATCATTGACCAGTCAATGGCTGAAGAGAAGTGAAGCCAGACCGAGAAGAAATGGGGGAGAAGATGACAGTGGTGGGGAAAGAAGCAGCAAATGCGAGCCTGGGTCTGCCAGTGCTGGGGGAGGGCACACTAGTTGGTACCGGTGGCATAATGAGGTCCATACTTGTACATCATAGTAAGTGCTCCTCCCACCCAGAAGACTCCAGATCCACTTTACAGGGCAATGAATATCAGTTCCCAGAATTATTCAACGGCCCTTCAATTCAGTGATCACGTCAGAGTCATAGTTACATAGTCATTGAGGGTGAATAAAGACACACGTCCATCAAGTCCAACCTAGTGTGTGCGGTCCTACTGATGTGTAGTATAGGTCCCTGTGTGTTCTCATTCTTAAGAGTACCGGTACCCCTGTATATTACCTGTACCCCTGTATGTTACCTGTCTCCCTGAGTTCATTGTAAAGAGTTTGCTGCTAATGTCGCTATCCCCGGTGAACATTTTATACATGAAAATCATGTCCCCCCTTAATCTCCTCACTTCCAATGAGAACATGTTTAAATTTAGTAGCCGTGTCTCATAGCTCTGGTCCTCCATCCCCTCCCCCCTGTTCTCATAGTTTTGGTCATCCATCCCCTCCCCCTTGTCTCATAGCTCAGGTCCTCCATCCCCTCCCCCTTGTCTCATAGCTCAGGTCCTCCATCCCCTCCCCCTCTCCCCCTTGTCTCATAGAGCAGGTACTCCATCCCCTCCCCCTTGTCTCATAGCTCAGGTACTCCATCCCCTCCCCCTTGTCTCATAGCTCTGGTCCTCCATCCCCTCCCCTTTGTCTCATAGCTCAGGTTCTCCATCCACTTTATGAGTTTGGTCTCCCTCCTCTGGACTCCTTCCAGTTCAAGGACCAAAAATTAAGGTAACTTTGCTCTTAAATTTGGCTTTTCTCTTTTTAAAATACCTGTCGCATGTTTTATACGCTCTGAGACTCACCTTGGCTGTCTGTAACGATCCCTAAAAGGAGAAAAGTGAGACTTAGAAATCACCAATCGTACATTCAAAAGGAAACTTTTTTGGGGGGTCAATTCCAAATTTTCTTTAAATTTTTTTAACAAAAACGTTATATTTATGGCAGGATGCGTCCGTAATGATTTGAAAGATACGTCGCCGGCGCTCCAAACTCCTAATCAAGGCGCCTTTATGGAGGCTTGTATCACAAAGAAAACGACGCTTCGGGGCCGGAGAGGGTCCCAACAATTGTCGGTGCCGGTGACTTATCTTTGGTATATGTGCGGCGGCATCTGCTTGCCACTGCAGCACCCACCACAGATTATTATAGGACTCATCGGTCAGGGGTACGATGGGAGATATACAATAACATAATGATATTAAATGCACGTTACCAAGTCATGTATGTTGCACGGTAAAAAGATTGCGCGTCCCTCAATACGCACACTGACATGACTCTACTGAAAGTGAAAGCATTTCCACACGCACATTGTGAAGAGAACTCGAGGTATTGGGGCTAAGCAGCTGCGTAGCCTGAAGAAAACCACCCACCAGTGAGGCTAATTGGAAATAAGACTTCAATTTGCTAGGGATCATAAGGATCTGACTCCGGAGCAATGGAAACAGGTCATGTGGTCTGATGAGTCCAGATTTACCTTGTTCCAGAGTGATGGGGGCATCAGGGTAGGAAGAGAGGCGGATGAAGGGATGCACCCATCATGCCTAGTGACTACTCTATTGGTCTATGGGGGTCAGTGTTATGCTCTGGGGTTCCTTCAGTTGGTCAGATCTAGGTCCACCAACATTATGTGCCCAAAAAACATGAGGTCAGCTGCCTCCCTGAACCAGGTTTTTCCATCAATGGATTATTTCTTCCCTGGTGGCACATTGGGCATATTCCAAGATGACAATGCCAGGATTCGTTGGGCTCAGATTGTAAAAGACTGGTTCAGGGAGCATGAGACATCATTGTCACACATGGATTGGCCACCACACTGTCCAGGCCTGAACCCCATTGAGAATCTTTGGGATGTGCTGAAGAAGACTTTACACCGTGCTCCGACTTCCCCATCATCACTACAAGATCTTGGGGGAAAATGAATGCAACTCTGGACGGAGATAAATGTTGTGACATTGTATAAGCTCAAATGTGCCGTAATCAAAGCTGAAGGCGGTCCAACTAAATATTAGAGTGTGACTTTTTTTTTTGGCGAGGCCGTGTACATATACAGTGGGGCAAAAAAGTATTTAGTCAGCCACCAATTGTGCAAGTTCTCCCACTTAAAAAGATGAGAGAGGCCTGTAATTGGCATCATAGGTAGACCTCAACTATGAGAGACAAAATGAGAAAACAAATCCAGACAAATCACATAATCGGCTGATTTGGAACCAATTTATTTGCAAATGATGGTGGAAAATAAGTATTTGGTCTAAAATGAATCCTGTGTGATTCGTTAATATTACCAGAGCCATCTGCCACAGAGTGGGATGTGGGCATCAGTCCGGATGGTGTGAAATATCTGCTCACATTGAGAAGATGGAAGATGATGGTCCACCACTATCCTTCCTGGAAGATGATGGTCCACCACTATCCTTCCTAGAAGATGATAGTCCACCACTATCCTTCCTAAGAAGATGATGGTCCACCTTTATCCTTCCTGAAAGATGATGGTCCACCACTATCCTTCCTGGAAGATGATGGTCCACCACTATCCTTCCTGGAAGATGATGGTCCACCACTATCCTTCCTGGAAGATGATGGTCCACCACTATCCTTCCTGGAAGATGATGGTCCACCACTATCCTTCCTGGAAGATGATGGTTCACCACTATCCTTCCTCGAAGATGATGGTCCCCCACTATCCTTCATGGAAGATGAGGGTTCACCACTATCCTTCCTCGAAGATGATGGTCCACCACTTTCCTTCGTGGAAGATGATGGTCCACCACTATCCTTCCTCGAAGATGATGGTCCACCACTTTCCTTCGTGGAAGATGATGGTTACCCACTATCCTTCCTCGAAGATGATGGTCCACCACTATCCTTCCTCAAAGATGATGATCCACCACTACCCTTCCAGGTTTTAAGAATGCGTTGGACAGCTCTTAACCCAATTTTAGTAGTTTCAGCAATCTCCTTAGTTGTTTTCTTTGCTGATGCTGGCCAATAATTTTACGCTTCTGAAACAGAGTTCCATCATTTCCATGACCACAGTGTCTTCTGACATGGTCATTGGAGAAATGAGAAGCTCCTCAATGCATCAGTTAGGGGTAAATAACTGGTTGCCGGATGAAACATTATTACCAATGCAGTAATTATCCCATGGAAGGCTCGCACCTATTGGCTTAGCTGAATCCAGGTGGAGACTTTTGTTGGCCAGGCATCGGTATATATATATACATTATATATAGATTGTTACACACGTACAGTTATTTCACATCCAACCACAAAGCTTCAGTGCAAACAATATTACTTAGCACTAAATAAAATGCAAAGATCTAATAAGTGAACAGAATCATTATATGATAAAGTACGATATCGCTAATGTTCAATAATACGGGACTATCAATCTATATTATTCCGGACTTACCAAGTAGGATCACCCATGTCAGGACTGACATTGTAACCGTCCCTCTCAGTGTAACAAATGGACTCTTTAGAAACGTCTGGTTAAAATAGTGGCGCTTGGTCAGGACAGGAAATCAAAGTGTTAAACCAACACAGGATGACATGTGATTAGTTTGCAGGTGGGGGGGGGAGAGATGCGTGCTGTGTATTATGACCACGTTTCCAGGATACAGGTCATATATTATGTAACAGATTTCACTATGTGTATTCAAGTCCATGTTCAGTTATGTATAGAGCAGTGGACGCCAACCAGTGGTCCATGGACGTGTTTGTGTCTCAGTAACTTCGTGTGTGACACCTAAAAAACCCCATTGAATTTGAGTGCCCCCCCCCCCAGTTTTGACTGTGGTATCTTATGTGCCCCCCACATATATTCCCTAGAGTCGCCACTACTTTTACCCAAAGGATCCCGGTAGCATTCCTTTTGTGGAGTAATTTTACAAACATTGAAATGTAATTTGATGTGATGCTGAAGGACATGCGTGACCACCAAGCTTGGCATAGGCTACCACTGGGAGGGCAAGAGGAAGCGAATACATCTGACACATTGAAACACATTATTACAAATGAAATATCCATGTGACCGGGGGCTTGGTACATGGTCAGTGCTGGCATCGGGGGCCAGTGGTGCAGCAAAATGACAGCTCAGTCCTCAGTCCTCCTGGATGGCTAACAGACTGGGGAAGATGAATACATCTGCAGGGCCATCCTCTCTAACACGTGTGATAGACTCTCTAGAAAATACATGACATGGACACCTCACCATCACACCTAGATAGATAGATAGATAGATAGATA